GAAAAAATTTCCTTATCAAAGACCTAAGAGGAGAAACACAAAGTATTGAGAGTTCATTTGGCATGTGCACTTTCATGTACATGTAGATAAAGCAAAACAAAATTACAGTTATACGTAGACTTGTACTATCTAGCACGTTAACTAATATGTACCATAGTTTATCTGCATATTGTTATGACATAGGTAATTATAGACATCTAAAGGATGTGTTAGACAATTCAAAATTTAGGATTTGGAAACAAAAGAATTTTATCAGTAGTCAACAGTTTTATCAGCTACTGAAAAGCATGTATGTTATGAGTAAGTAGTAAGGGATCAGTATCACTGTGAGTTCATATTTTGAAGAAAATTCAATTCCTCAGTTCACACACAAGCCCCTTCTACACTGAGTTACACCCCCTTCTGCCACTATTTTTGTTGCTTTTGTTACGATACAGCAGAAGCATGCACTGAAAGCCATTTGGGTAAAAGCCATGTTTGTGCATGTCTTCACAAAGCACTTGGTATACTTCAAGAAGAATGGTAATTAGCAATGCATGGATTTTTTCAGTGGATGTTGAGTTGAATGATGAGCGATATCACACATTAGTGATCTTTACTAAAGGCATCACAGTATCACAGTTCCCACAGATGATTGATTACGAAATACTATGGCAAATGCTCTACCTTGAATGAATTCAGTCTCCGTTTCATTTTTGTTCCTCTCTTTTTTCTTTTTCTTGCATAAAGATTTTTTTTTTTTTTTTAATCTTTGGACTTAAGTAATTACTGTGCAGACAAGAGAAGAATAACTCAAGCAAAAATGTTGTCATGAAGTTTAAGTTAGGATGGTCGTAACCCAAACAAGAAATCCACTATTTACCTTCAGTTTTATTGTATTTTGTTTGAAAACTAAGCCCATTTTCCTCCAAGATAGCTGACCCACAGCTCTCAGGCTATACTGGATTTTATCTTCCCATCACAGAGGAGTATTTGAAAATTCAAAATGAAGGACAGAAAGAACGCTAATTACAGACTCACCCACTGTTGCCAAAGTTTCCCACACTGTCATAATTACTTTGAGAGAGTTAAGCAGAAAATTGAAAACATCTGCAGAGGGAAATGCCTGTACATTTGTTTCACAGTTTGTACACACTGTGCAGTTATTTCAGTTTCAGGAATGACTGGAAATAGTTTTCTCTGTTCATAAAAGGGCTGTACAGAACAAAATTCTCCTGCTAGAAATTGAACAAAACACTCACTGACAGAATTTTTCTGAGACACAAGGCTATTCTCCTGCTTCATGTCCTGACACAACATGACGGAAGCATAATCTGAAATATGTATCATCAAATTTTGAATGATAACAGCATTAATAAGGTCAGTGTTAAAGTAACACCAAGAATGGATCTAAAGGGGAAAAAAAATGTTGTAAAACTCATTTCCCCAGTGTATGTCCGAATTATCTTTTCTATATAGGTCTTTATCTTTGGAGACCTGCACTGCAGGACCTCAAGGGGGCTTATCAGAAAGCACTGCCTGTTTCATTGCACCTTAGAGTAAATCCAGAATTCCAGCTGTGTGCTGTTGGTATTTTCAGTCAGAAGAAAATCCTTGGCTTTATCTGCACATTTTGGAAGCTGCCTACTAATTTACTAAAACAGTGATACACTAATGCCCTGGTAGAATCCACCACTTGTAGTAACAGTAGGTTTCAGAGGACAGAGCTACACTGGCTCTGGAAGAAATGAGTCATCTGTTTGATTCAGCAGTGTATTGGATATACTGTCCTTCAAAATTCATCTACTCCATGTCACATTCCACTTCAACATGGAGAATAATTTAAGCAATCTTAGGCATTGCAGGGCCATGTCTGAATATTCACCAAAACATTTCCATGGAATTCAAATGCTTTCCATTAATCTGATGTCAGAATTGGAAGTCCCAATAGCTCTTTTTTTTTTTTTTTTTTTAACCAGGAGAATATTTCAACTTTCATGTCTTTCTTCAAGATTAATAAGTTTTGGCTTTCTCACAATTTATGAGTTCATGCATGGGCAATACAATTTCATTTTCACAGATGTGACAAATTTTCTTCAGCGAGTTTCTAAGCTTAAGCCTATGTTTCAGTATTTTGTTGTATGGGGGCAGCCCTTGGTGTCGTCAAGAGGCACTGGATGACATACGTCTTCTCTAATCCCCGTGATGTCCAATTTTCACTTGACCATGCTGTTCTAAGGAGTGTTTGATATTCTTTTTATAGAGAGGAGGATTTGCTGGGGAACTGAAACATTTCAGGAGTCCTTGGATCCCAATTAATAGCCTCACCACATCCTTGGGCAAGGAAAGTCATGATGTCTTACTGTTCCTGCAAGGTGGTGCTAATCAAAATAGGCTAAGCCCATGAAATCCAAAATCAGGCAAAACACTATCACATCCAGAAGATAAAGCCAAAGACTCAACAAGAACTGTATTTCATCTGCTTATACTAAGGGTAAATCCAAAGGGCATCCTCTTCTCTTACACAGATGACTTTCTGTTCTCTGCCACCTCCACTCTATTCTTGCTGAAGTGTGACGTCTTTATCAGTCTTGCTTGACCTTAACCCTCCTAATCAAAGACAAGTTTTCCTTTCCATAGGTATGCAAATATGTCATGGTTGTACCAAGAGTTTGCAGTGCTCAGAAGACAGCTCTGGCTTCCAGTTGTTGCAGCTTGGTTGATTCTATCACCAGCAACAGGGCTTCTCTTCCCCACCTTTCCCTCTCCTTGAGGTGGAAAAAGGTACAGAGGAAGCAACCAAGATAAGGAGGGATACCTAATTTACTACAAATGATAAAAGAATGTAAGACACTATGATACAAAAAGGAGTTCCAGATAACAAATCATACAAATGGGTGAAAGAAGAGTTCAGATAATGTTGCTTGCTATGCTAATGGAAACAGACGAGGGGTTTTCTTCCCCATCAGTGTGCTATTCTACATCTTTTACCTGGAATTGGACATCACATGGGGAGTATTGGAGACTTCAGGGTCTGCAGTTTGTCTCTTTTCAGTGTACCTTCCTCTAGGTACACTGAAAGCTGCAACACATGTAAGCTGACACTTCTGACCCCAGAATTACACTTCCCTGGCACTGTGCTTCAGCACTAAAACAGCTTGCCACATGATGTCATGATATGGAATACTGATAAAACCGGTACACCAATAAAGTGTAGTAATTGCAGCTCTCTCTTTCATAGTTGCTGACATTCTTCAAGGAGGAATGCATATCTTACTGACTCTTTATGTCCCGTCAGCTTGTACAAACTTCTAATTCATCCAGTAATATCCAGTCTATTATTGACTTGTGAGTCTATAAATTACAGCAGTCTAATACTGTGGAGCACCCACAGGTGCGTGTTGATGGATCTCCACTTTTCTCCTGGGTAAAGTCTATCAACAGGTATCCAAGAAATCACTAGAAAGAATTTCTGAATTTCTGATTGAACAATTAACATAGGAAGATCATATACTTTGTTTTAGTATCTGCTTTTATTACCTACCATTCAATTTTCAAATGTTTCCCTTTATTTTTTTCCCCCGGGTCTGTCCTTGAAGGAGACCTGACTGTTTCACATGGTAGTGAAGCACACACATTACAATCAAGGCACATCATTGGTTTCACACACTGAGCACAGATATCAGGCACACTGATATGTCCAAGGGGAAGCCTAGAATCAAAGGGCAACAACGGCTTTTGTATTTTGAACTTTTCATGGGGATTTGTGAAAATCCAGGTAAAATAATTTACTGCTTTCAAATAAAGGAAGAGAGAAACCATGTATTTTCACATTTGCCAACAAAACTGCTGTTATTTATTGTATGTCTTAAGCCAGTAATAAGTAACAGGATCCAGAAAAAAAATGGTGGAATGTTTAAAGCCAGGTTTCTAGTTAGGGTTTTAACATATGAAATGCGTTAATTATCTCAACTTAGTAAACTGACTGTAGACAATGATTCAACAGAAGAATATGACTGGTTCAATGTTCACTCAATCTGTGTGTCTGCAGATGATATCTATGTTCCCCCTAGTGTTGGTTCACAAGCGTACTTCCATTTTTGTGTCAAGGCCTCTGGCTTTCTCCTTTAGTAGTCTAGACTCTCACAGACACCCCTTTTAGCTACTGCCATTTAATGAAAGACCAGCAGAAAGGAATTGACATTGGTGCCTTTTCAGATAAAATAAGATTTTAATTATGCAATTTATATACTGAGCGAGCTCCAGCGGTGACATTCTTTAGGAATTCAACTGATTAATATCTGTATTAAGGTCAGGCAACTGTATTCAGAGGGAAAGCTATACTTGTGATGCCAATTTCCCACTGTCTCTGGACTTGGTCAGCCGCACATAGGGGCTTCTCCTTCGTGCTGGAAGAACAGCGTCCTCTGTGGAAGGCCGTTGAGGAAGAATAGTAAGTGTTGCATGATTTTGTCTGGATCCTCACAGAAATGCATAGGGCAGTTAGTACATTGTACCTTGAGTCCAGGCATCACCTATGCATGCGCTCTACAGAGCTGGGAGCCAGCCAAATGGCTGGCTAACTGTGTGTGGGAACCAAATCTCATTTATCACCTCATTTAGGTCACCAAGCTCCTAACATGAGTTTGGAGGTACTTTAAATCTAGGGAAGAGCCAGAACAGTTTTAATGCCCTTTGAGCTGGTGCAAATATCTGGAACATATGGGAGAACTACAACAGCATGGGAAAAAGTGGACAGAAAAGCAAAGCTGGGTACAGAGGTGAACTGAGTCAAAGTCAGTCTAAAAGCAACATCCCTTGCTTGTTTTGTAGCAATATCTAGGTGTGAATGTTTAGTTTCATAAACACTGTCTGCAAGTGTTGAAACCTTCACCTTGAGCTCTCACTGGCTGCATTCCTACTGCTTACACAAAAGCAGAGTTTATGTTAATGCCTAGATCCTCCTTCCCCTCCCCCCCACCCCCCCAAAAAAAAGAAAGAAAAGTGTAGTGATCAGTATACATCATCTTTCCAACTGCCTTGTCACTACATCAATTAATACAATTGAGCAAAAAATGTCACAAGCCCGGTGGAAAAACCTTTACACAGCCTTTCAGGGGGAAGTTTACTTCCAGCTTTTTTCCCTTGCATTAGCTTCTGTCATCCACAAAACAACAGAACCCAGTGGTGTCAATTATATTTGATTGACTGAGTAAAGCACACACACAAATAAGCGAAAACAATGGACACAAAAATCTATATATGACTCCCCTTGTCAGTGAGAATGCCTGTCTTCTCCATTTTCATGCTGCACGGTGTCCTGCTGCTACAGGCTTAAATGTTTCCTTCAGCCCCCAAACTATCACCAATTAAGTTAGCAGGGTCTTCAAAGGTGTCAAATGACTCCCTGGGCAATTGGCTGTAACTGCTGTTCAATAAATGAGGTCTAATTTATCAGTTTAACTTCACTTTTAAAAACCTAATGTCTCCTGGTACTGTGTGCCTTTTGCCCACTCTGTGAAGAGACGCCTGCCATGTCGCATTTTGAAAGTTGTGTGAGCTCTTGTTAGCAATCAGATGTTCCGTCCATCATACCTTTTCTCTCCTTCTGAAAGAGGCATTTGAATAAAATATACTTGAGCAGTATGGACTTGAGTACGTTGTGCCTGAATAGAGGACCCCTAGAAAAACAAATGAAATGAATTAAGCATAACGTGGCATTGTTTTGGGTACAGAACAGTCTGATCACAGGTTAAAACAGTTTTTTACTTTGTCCTTTTGGCTCTGCATGAAAACAATCTTTCGAGGGCTTTTTTAAGTGTTTGAGATGCAGAAAATCTCTGGCCAGATTGGAAGATGCTTTTGCAGTGAATAGTCTTCAAGAAATAAGGTAGCCAGTAAGGCTCTAATAATAACAGGCACGGACCCCAAAGGCCATAATTAGTGTGTGCCACAGAAAGCATATGGATGAAACAGAGAGATGTGGAAAGGGCAGGGTGTAAAAGACTACAAAGATGTAGTGGATATAAACTCATGTTACAGAAAAGCAACACTTTTTTTCCACCATACAGTATGCTCTCAATACAGACAAAGCTCGTGGTAAAGCTGAAACCACAGTTTTCACACGTACAGCAGTAATAATGGAAATCTTGGTATCACATTTACACGTGGCAGCGTTAGTTGCACGTGTGGCTAATAAAGTGCTACTTTACTGTTTCAATTTTTTAAATATAGATACTAAACTGCTCAGTGAGACAAAGACTTTCCCAACTGTCTGTTTCAACATAATTTTTTTTTTTGCTTTTTTAATCAATACAGAGTTTGAAATCCACCGAACGACTCTCTTGCACCACACAACACCTGCACTCCACTGTCTACTGGTCATACTGTAGGTTGTGGATAATGCATTATTCACATTGTTTCCTTAGCTTGCATTGCTTCTGTTTTGATCCAAATACATCAGCAATACACCTAGTCTTAAGCTTAAAACTTTATTTTAAATAACTGTAGAATTTTAAGGTTGAGTTTAGTTGAGATTTGTAGAAATCATTGATATTTATCTAAAAGAGAGGAAATATTTTGGATTCCAAACTTACAAATGGCACAAGAAGAGATGGTCTGGCAAAAGCCAAGGACACTGCATTTCCATATTCAGAAAGGCGTCACCGTCAGAAGAGATCTCTGAAAGACCATCTCTTCAAACAAGAACACTGAGAAGGAGAGTCTGTGAGTGAAAGAATAACAGGAATACATAAACAGGATTATAGCAATTAAACATCCACACATAAAGAGCTATCTTTTCTAAATTCAGTCAAAAGAGAGTAGGAACTCTCTTCATCTTACGTACAGATAGCAGGGCTATAAGTAGAAAGGAATGACTTAGTAATGATGCTTTGTCTCAGAATACCTTTCTCAACGCTGCAGACTTCATTTACATTTAACAAACACAAAAGCCTAACATGTCCCTTACATCCTCATGAAGTCTTACTGAGTTTTTGTCAGTGTTGTTGTGCAATGTTTCTGTTAATTAAATCATCACTAGTTTGTCTTCTTATCTATGATTCATACCATGATCAGCTGCTCTTCCCCTCCCTGTCTCATTTTTAAGTATGAAGCTGCCCACTTGTAGCAAAGATTTTTACTAGTATCTGTATTATTAAGCTAGTCTTGTATGACTAAATTAATTTTGGCTCTATTACTGTAGCCTCAGGCTTGTCTGGTTTTTCCTGTAGAATGTCTGGAGTCCCTTCTGCACCTTGGACAAGTGTCATAAGTAACTGCTCTACCTTTAGTGAAGGATTGCTAAGAAATACCACTACCCATGGCAATCTTACAGAAAATTCACCTGCAACCTCAGAGCTGGTATTTAACCTCGTTCAAGAAGAACTTCCTACCATCTCATATTTTTGCAAGTTATTTACTAATGTCATAATTCTTATATTAAACTCTACCTTAGGTGGTAATTTTCCTTGTCAGTGTTTACCAACATTTCCATGAACTTCAGGAAGTTTTGTTTCATTTTCTCCACATGATCAGTTGCTGAAGAAATTTATTGAACCTGGTGAGAGTAAGTTGCTTGGGTCACTTATTTTCTGCTAGCAATAAACTACTTTTTATCAGCCTGCAAAGTTGGATATGGAATAACTGTTCTCCTATGAGCACTCACTGCTTGGCTTGCAAACTCATGTGCTATAGCTGTCATGGTTGTCAAATGGAGATGACTTGCTTCTTCTATTTTAAACTTGTATTGAACTGACAGAGTTAAATGTAAATTTGAGTGTTACTTCTTCCTTTGATATGATCACCTCACTCAATGTCACTTTGTATTGTGCAGATATCTCCATCTTAAACTTTGCTCTCAGTTGCAAGGAGAAATAAGGAAGACAAAATCCCCTTTAGTTTCACTGCATGGTGGTTCTTGGGTTGAGTGGAATGCAGCTGTCCCAAGAGGTTATCTCTGCAGAAGGAAATGTGACCCTCGGGTATCTAAAACAGGCAAATGTAGTTGTTTTCAGTATGAAGGCAGCGGCAGAACACAATCTAGATTTAGTTGCAAGCAAGCCCAGCAGTTTTGAGCTCTGTGCTGCATGGACTTGCCCTGTTAAAAAGGCAAGTTAATATATTCTGTAGCAGAAAGTGGATTTCTACTGTAAAGTAGTTTCAATTAAAACAAAACAAAACAAAACAGTCACACAGACCATTTCTGGGACTAAGAGGAAAGGTAGAAATGTCCTTGCATTGTATGTATCACCTCCATAAATAAGTGATCACCCAACAGCCTTATTGGTACTGTAAGGACCCTGCATGGTTGTTCCAGTTCCTGATTTGGGAAAGGAAACCATAAAGCTGAAACTGAGTAGCAGTTTATTTTTACACCATAAGCAAAGCACTCAGTTACAGAGTCAGGTGTATTGATCTGTGATTTGTTAAAAGATATTAAAGTGTAGCATGCACAGTAGTTTTTCATCTCTTACCTCTCTGCAGCTTAGAGAGGTGGCAGGCTGACTGCTCACTGCCTCCTGATTACTGTCTTCCTCTGAGCAAAGCCTGGCAGGCACCAGCAAGCATAGCTCTTCCTTGACCTTAGGAAGACAGGAAATGTTAGCATGTAACAGCCAACAGAGCAGAGATTTTAGGACCCTATCTACAAACATGACTTGTGACAGCTCAAAATAATGAAATCCAAAACAAAAACATTGGCTTCCTTTTTTTTTTTTTTTTTTTTTTTTTTTTTCTTGCCTGCTATCTTCCTACTCTCTGCTTAAGTTGTGTTAGTAGTCTGCTTTGCTTTGCTGATCATGCCACAGAGTCTCACATAATGTGAGGGTAATGTGCTCAGAGCAACAAAACCACTCCCTGGTCTGGGAGAAAATTGGAGAGGCAGGAGTACATGGTGAGCAGCAGTTCTTGATGGGGAACTAGAGCAACACATGGACCCCAGACCATAACAAAAGCCAATACAGTGGAGACTTTATGCCAGAAGTTCGAGATATCTCACTGATATTTCCAGTGACGCTGCCCAGAATGGGAGTGTTTCCCTTTGAAAAAAGATGCTATTTAGCACACATTTCAAAACAAACAAACAAATAAATAAATAGTAATGGTAAAGAATGTAGTGGTATTTTTGTAATTTAGTAGATGCTTTTGTTTCTGATTTAATGATTGAAAGAATCCACTGCAGTGCTGTGCAGGAGTATGTGTAGCTTAGCTGTAGCTTGCAAGAATTCCTGTATTCTTAGCACATGAAAATTGTTATTTTAAAAGTATAATCAGAATAAATAATCATAAACTATTATACATATATAATCCTTGATTTGAAACTGCTAATAAGCACACAACAGGACTTATTCAGATTACAGAACCCTCCTGACAAGCTTCCACAACATGCTCCTGCCCACCGATGTCCTACACTGCCTCTCCTGCAGCATGCCACTCTTTTCAAGGCATTTTCAGAGACAAGATAACTTTTTTTTCCTGCTTTTTTTCCATTAGTCTCACACTTTGCTACCAGCTGTGGTTCTGTCAATCCTGGCTGCATGTTTTGCAGCCACCATTTTCACATGGTATGATCCCAGTCCTGTTGGTAGTACCACAAAAGCTTTCAGAAATGAATGTTTATTTTATTTTTTTTTTTAGCAGATCCTGAGGTAGCTGTCGTGCTGTGGACTATTGCCCTCTGGAGTTCAAAGCTGGGATGAGCGTTTTCTTTGTATAAAATATCTGCCCTGCTCAGGCAAACTTGGTGCATTTTATCTCTTTTCAATCCACTCAGTGATCCTTCACACAAGTAGGAACATTTGTTTCTGCCTTGCCATCAGCCTGGCATCTCTGCTTCGCTGGTATAGAGAAAACTGTAATATTTTTTACTTTAATATGAACTTTATGCTTTAGGGCCATGCCAGTGGTTGAGTTGGCAGTCTTGACCCATTGCTAGTGCTTATCTTGACTTCAGAACCTTTTCAAATAAGTTTGGAAGTCTTTAGCATGTTTAAGGATCTGCATTTTCTTGTTCCCTCACATTACCATTAATTATGGGAATTAACAGGTCTAACAGCCAGCCTCAGGTATCCAATGAAAAAAATATCAGACAAAATCTCACTAAACTAGTGAGAGGAGGATCTGGGGGTCTTGACAGATGAAAAGCTTAACAAGGACCAGCAGTGCACTCTTGCAGCTTGGAAAGCAAATAGTATCCTGGGCTCCATCAGCAGAGGGGTGGCCAGCAGGGACAGGGAGGTGATTGTCCCCCTCTACTCTGCTCTTGGGAGGCCTCATCTGCAGTACTGTGTCCAGGTCTGGAGCCCCAGTACAAGAAAGACAGGGAGCTGTTGGAGAGGGTCCAGGGGAGAACATGAAGATGATCAAGGGACGGGAGCACCTTCTCTACGAAGACAGGCTGAGGAGCTGGGTTTGTTCAGCCTGGAGACAAGAAGGCTGTGGGGTGACCTCATTGCAGCCTTTCAGTGCCTAAACAGAGCCTACAAACAGGAGGGGAATCAATTCTTTGAAAGGGTAGATAACAGTAGGACAAGGGGAAATGGTTTTAAGTTGGAAGATTTAGGTTGGATGTCAGGGGGAAGTTCTTTACAGAGAGAGTGGTGAGGTGCTGGAACAGCTGCCCAGAGAGGTTGTGGATGCCCCGTCCTGGAGATGTTCAAGGCCAGGTTGGATGCGGCCCAGGGCAGCCTGGTCTAGTATTAAATGGGGAGGTTGGTGGCCCTGCCTGTGGGAGGGGGTTGGATATTCATGATCCTTGAGATCCCTTCCAAGCCTGGCCATTCTGTGATTCTGTCATTTTGTGATTTGGGAGAGTAACACGGGCAGCAGCTTACAAGGAGCTTCAATGAGCCAGATGGACCACTCACACCCAGAGAGGTCCAAGGGACTTAGATATGCCAATGACATTGGAAAATCTGTCCTTTCAAGACATTGATAAGGAATATTTCACTTGACAAGAGCAACATAATATAGACCTTACCATATCCATAGTTTCTGAATAAAACTGCAGGAAGGCAGCGTTGTTAGCATGGTTCCTAATGAAGATATACAGAGCTCTATTTTTGGAGAGTCTGTAACAGGCCTAGTGACAGCCCACGGAGATTTATGCTGCAGGGTGTCCTCAGATATCTAGTGATTTCCCTCCCACAAAGATGTCCCACCGTCCTGCACATTTTGTTCTGATGCATCTCAGGAGAGAATGCTGCCTATTAGCTGGACTAGTGTAAAGTATTAACTGATGGCCTTGCATTACATTTTGTCCTGCATTAAGCTTTATACAGTCACTTAAAAAATCAAATCCATGCCCATTTATTCTGAATTCTTAACAGTTATTTTAGCAACAGTAATAGGGGTATTTCTTGGCTTACCATAAAAAAAAAAATTAGATTTTAAAGAAGCTGAAATACTAATCAATGATTCTTTAGACTGGCTTGTTTTTCCACTATATTAAAAAAAAAGTTCTGCAAATACTTGAATCCCAAAGTCTGTGGAAAAAAATGAAATCTTCTTCTCCCAGACCACACTGTGGTGAAATAAATTAGTATAATGATTTATGTTTACCGTTTTAGTCAATTCTGATAGAGATTATAGAGACAAAATGACAAACTGCCTTAGCGGTAAACTTAAATCATGTCAGCCAATCTTTAGTTTTTCCTTACTCTAATTGCTCCTCTTGTTCATTTATCTTCCCAGGCAATCTTTAGAAGAAATACTAGTTCAATCAGTGCATGTGCAAACCACCAGAGATAAAAAGTTTAGCCTAATTTGTCTCACTAAATTGTAATGCCTCTAGTAAACAAATCTTAGTTTGAAAGGAAACCAAGAAAATCTAAATAAACATCCTCTACAAAACGTTTCTCTCCTTGCTACACCTCGTATTGCTGATGTTTTATGAACCTTGCATTTAGATGCAAAAAAACCACAAAAGCATAAAAATGCATAGTACTGTTTTGCAGTCAGCCAGAATTGTTGCTTTCAGCTATTCATGATAGCTTTTAAGCTTAAGTAATTTGGTATTATCACAATAATGCAATTAAATGGCAGGATAAAATACTGCTTTACAGCGGTTATGCAGCAGTTATTCAAAACAAAGGAATTTTAATTTCTCTTTTTATAATATGGAAGCCAGTACAGTCCTGCACAATGCAGAAATTCTTAATTTAGTGTAGCTTTGCTGCAGTTAATATTAGCTTCCTTTCACTATGTGAACAGTTTTCCCATTCACTATGAGAGAATTAGGTTCTAATTGTTAAGCTCTCCTTCCACAAATGCATCTCTTTTATTTCAGCAGGAGTCCAAGTCATGGAGAAGAACACAAGTGTGCCAGTCTTTTCAGAGCATAGGCAAAAGACAGTGAACCATCACTGGGTTGTAGAATGCCTGCTACAAATTAATTCAGAACATTCATTTGATTTCTGGGAAAATTAAGGCTCTTGAATACAGACTCTAATTTCTGAAAAAGTCCACAGCTCTAATTCTCCAACAGCACACAATGGCTCATTTTTTAAAGAAAGATTTGAATGGCTCTGATTTTCTTGCTTCTCTGGAGCAAGAGTCCTATCAATGGGAGGAATCTCATTAAAGGGAATTTTGCCCATATAAGGCTTTCACAATACAAACTTTCTGGGTATCTGAGATTAAAATCTGATCTGCATAGCCAGGTTTTTGAAATGCATGTGTGTGTCATCACTCATATAAGTAATCCCCACAATTGAATCAAACCATATATGTGAATAAATGAGCATGTATTTTCAAAACCCTGTGGGACGGGGCCCTCGTTCTTTAATCTTTTTCTTGCTTTGTTTTTTTTTTTTTTTTTCTTTTTCAAATCATCAGGATCCCATCAGATTTTATGTTTAGCAATTTTTGTTACATATCACTGCATAAAGCTTGCTCCTGTGGCTCATGCACTATAGGGAGGAGAGACATTTTCAAACACTACATTACAAC